CATGATTATCAATCAGATCATCATGATGACTGGCCACTGCTATTTATATTAAGTAAATACAAGTGAAATGGAAGGTGGAATCTGATTGGTCAATAGGTGGGACATAGAAGGGACATAACTCGTAATAGCCACTGGTTGCGCTACGATCGAACCACGATCGGCAAGGTTCGGTAAGGGTAAGAATGGGATTTTATTAGTCAGTTTACCCTCTTAACCCTGGAGGATGTACATGGCCGATTCAGTATTATGTTCTATGGTTGGTGTCGCTGGGACATGGATCTTAAAATTAAAACTCGACTTACCTACCCAATTTTATTTATAAAAAAACCTTAATGAAATTAGGACCACTTGGGGTATTCACGAAAAATGAGTCCTAAGAGGACACGGAAATGACATCAGAGCAGCTAAAAGGCATTTCACGCATGCACAAAAGTCTTTTCCGGCAGTTGACCACTTTCATGTTATCGCCGCCATGCCTTTTGTCATAAAACTATTATTGGATCGGACACAGGTTAACTTACATGGTCGTCTTAAATATACACATTGTTTCATTGCATAATCATTGCATGATTTCAGAATCAGAGAGCAAGATAAGCATCACAGTTGAAAAAAGTGCACCAAAATGGCAATATACTCACTGATAAAATCATTTTTAATCCAATATTACTCATTTAGTAATGGTTTTATTGTCCCAAATCATGTTTGTTGAATAGATCGTAAGAGTTGTAGAATGAATGGGATGGCGTCAGTGGCAGATCCTTGATTTTGAAGAAGGGGGGCCGGGGGAGGAGCACATACTACTACTACTACTACTACTACTACTACTACTATACTACTACTACTACTACTACTACTACTACTACTACTACTGTTCACGATGTGCGGCGTTAAACAACAAAGAAACGAACAAACAAACACGAACGGTCTTGTCCGAGTGCGCTGTTAACGTGTAAGGTGTCAGAAATGAAGGGAGCATCCCTCCCCTCTCTGGGTCCGCCAGAGCACTTTATTGCTTGTCATAACGCAAAATAACGCTGCTCATGATATCACGGGGTTGTCTGATCAAGACGCGATTACTAAGGCCCCGGGATGTAGCGGGACAATTACTGACCTCGGCGTTAAACAAAGAAAGAAACAAACAAAAAATATATAGTATTCTGAACCGGGTCCCACATACAACTAAATCTGCTTCTTCTTGTATGGACAAATAACCACATTTTTCGAGACGACGGTATCAATTTCCATCAAATTGTTCGAAAACGGATGCAAACAAAAGCGCTGGTTATTTTCGCCACGACATAAATTGCTAAGAGTATTTCGATGCCCAGTGACTGAAAGCCAGTCTAAATAGAGCTAGATACCTCCGTCAATATACCGGACAATCAAAGCCGGAATGTACACCGACGCATTTTATATATCACGTTTTACGACGCCAAACATGCCACGTTTTAAGACCGAGACGCTATTGCACACGTCACAGTAGAGATTCATCTGCAAGTGGTGTCGAGACAGGTTGTACTCTGGTTCTCCAACCTAGCTCATTTGATGAATAATTACACCCCCGCCGTTAACCTACTTCAAGTTACAGTTTTAACCCTTAGAGCGCGTTCAGTCGGGACAGCTTTATTACAGCGATGCCACACAGTGGCAAATATTCTGGGAAACCATTAATCCGGAAACGTCTCGTGGGGTTATTTTGGTCCTTTTATTACGGTCTATGGTGGGTTGATTTAATTTTGCTATTAACAACGGAGTGTAAAAAGCCATGTTGAACTCGACTCGAAGTTTGTAGCTGGAAAACTTAATATCAGGACAGAGAATCGTATGTACGGAAATTAACATCGCTCGATACGTCTTACTGCTCCATCAGCTGACGAAGCTGACGACGCGCGGTGATCTGATAACGTAAGGGAATGGATGCTATGCGCCCCAAACTGCGTGAAACTGAAGTGCCATTAACATTGAAGCACGTGTAGCACCTGTAGCACATGTGGTGTCACCTTGGGCAAGTGACTCCGAAATGTGCCTCTGTTCACCCAGCAGTGAGTGGGTACCCGGTAGGATCAGATGGTATTGTGGCTGTTAACCTTAGATCGCCTGACAGGCAGCTTGGGTTGTATACTCCCCATGGAGCTGAAAATGAAAATAAATCGAGTGCACACTGTTTCTTTGACCGGGGATATAAGAATGTAGCGCCACGAGCATTCACTAGCTGAAGAGTGAGTGAGTGAGTGAGTTGGGTTTAACGCCGCTTTTAACATTATTCCAGTTATATCACGGCCTGTCAGCTTAATGTGGGAGGAAAGCCCGAAGTGATGTAAGTCTAAGACGTTTACCACTTCGGTGAAACCCACGAGCACGGGTATGGTGCTGACAAACCTAGAAACAAAATTGGGGCGAACCGGGATTCGAACCCACAATCATAGGTTTCTGGCGTGCCCAAGGGACGCAACTCTGCACATCGAATCGCGGCGCCTTATACGACTGCCCCCCCCCCCCCCCCCCCCCCCCCCCGTGCCCCCCGTGCCCCCCGTGCCCCCTGTGCCCCCTCACTTGCTGAAGAGAGTTTGGGGCATTATAAATGGACTTATTATAAGTGAGTTTGGTCTACCGACGCTTGGTGTGGCAGTGATAGCTATAGGTGGGAGAAAATCCGAATTTTATGCAGCCTTAGACGTTTGACGTTCTGTTGAAACGTTGTCTGATGCTGACAAACCTAGAGTGAGTATGGTTTTATGCCGCTTTTAGCAATATTCCAGCAATGTCACGGCGGGGGACACCTGATATGGGCTCCACGCATTGTTACCATGTTGGATATCAAACCCGGGTCTTCGGCGTGACGAGCGAACGCTTTAACTATAGGTATCTGACACTGGTCGTAGATATTTACCGTTTTCATAAAAGCAAACGAGCACTGGCATTGTGCCAACAATAATAACATGGAATTCGAACATTGAATTGGCGGATCCTGACGACCGAGGGAACAGGTTCAGGAAAGCCACAGTTGCAGCGCATCAGTCTACTCGGCCACCTCGATGAGCCGAATGAAACGTCACTATGTTTTCAGTGGCTTTATTGTTATACTACGGAAGCGTAGTGGGGCCACGGTGAAATTTTGTTGTTGTCTAAGTATCTCCTACGTAGGACTTAATATCTCCAACGTAGGACTTAGTATCTCCTACGTAGGACTTCGTAACTTCTGCGTAGGACTTAGTATCTTCTGCGTAGGACTTAGTATTTCCTACGTACATGTAGGACTTACTATCTCTTACGTAGGACTTAGTATGGCCTAGAATTACTATCTCCTACGTAGGACTTACTATCTCCTACGTAGGACTTAGTATTTCATTAGGGTTTGTTTGTTGTTTAACGCCGCACTCGGCAATATTCCAGCTGTATGACGGCGGTCTGTAATAGTCGAGTCTGGACCAGACAATCCAGTGATTGACATCATGAGCAGCCTGACCACACGATCCCATTAGTCGCCTCTTACGACATGCGTAGTCGCCTTTAACGGCAAGCAAATGTTGCTGAAGACATATTCTACCCCGGATCTTCACGGGTCCGATCCGTTAGTGATCAGAGAGCTGGGCCTGGTAACGTCACTTTCCAAATGAAGACGTTGTAGAAAATGTGTCCACGGTATGTACCAAAATAGAAAAACGATATGACACACTGGATGATATAGTCCACTCCAACCCCATCATTCAGATGGTATCACTTTCTTTAGGTATCTATAATTATCTCCCCTCCCACCCACCCCTGCCGCTAGGGAGAGCAGATTAAATCACTTACTGCTATTTACCGAACGTTTTGTCTGGCTTTGGCCTATCCTTGCCAGTGTTTCAGCATTCTCATTAGAGCCAGGCCGTAGATTAAAGATGGAAACCTTGAATGAGATGCTCTTCAACAGACGAACTCGAGAACAGAAGCTCAGACCAATGTGACCCAGCGGATTGATAGATCGTTATAGCTAGGAAGTACATCCACACTTGCTTGACATTCGAGGCCTGCTTTTGGATCGAGAATCTCTACAAGAGTGGACGTTCAAATATGAGTTGAACAAATTGCAGCTATTTCTACTTGTTCCATTACATATTGACTCAGGAGAATGGTGTGGGTCTGATTAACAGAAGGTTGGGGGACACAGCCGACTGTGCGTTTGTCGTTGGACAACTGTCATTATGCAATCTGTTTAGTTAACGTAATATCGGGCCATGTCCCATGACACTCATGATACAAGCCCCCCCCCCCCCCCCCCCGGAGATACTGGGTTGGAATAATTTTTATTGGTCCCCAGTCCATGCTTGTTAGAAAGAATTGGTCTGTTGTTAAGAGTCTGGGGACTGGCTGATTGCGTGTCTTACAATATCAATCACTGGGTTGTCTGATTCAGACATACAGGCTGGGATATTGGTGAGTGTGGCGTTAAACATCAGACAAGCAAATCAAACAAATAATTAATGCTAGAGCTTGAGCGGTGACAGGTACCAGACCACGGTATTTATTCCCTGTTTAACGCGTAGTGACATAAAATCCATGTTAAACTGTGGTATGGTGTCTCCGTGGGCTCGCACTGTAGAATAAACTTAATCCGGATTAGTACACACACACAGAGACACAGACGGACACACAGAGACAAAGACACACACACATAAACATATACACACACAGACAGGCACTGATACACACACAGACCGACAGACAGACACACACTCGATAATTTACTGACCACCGTCATATTGCTGGAATAATGCGGCGTTTAACAACACACACGCACGCACGCAGGCACGCGCGCGCACACACCACACTCACACAGAGTGTTAAGTATATATACCACATAAAAGAAGTTGAAGCAAACTCGATTCTTTCAGACGACTAGAGTTAATCTGTCATGCCATTGTCTAGTCATAGTCGGGTGTCATTTTTGAGTAGCATATAAAAACTAGTGTTCGAAACATTTTCCTAACTATCACTAATGTTAATATTTTTCTTTTCAGCTCGATCCAGGCCTAAACAAACAGCAATGGCGAAGGCAATGACAACACTTCCGGAAACAGATATGAATGAAGACACGTGACACCTCACGTCCAAAGTCGGCATAGGAATTATTGATGTTCTATCCCGACTTATTGCTTTACTCATCTAATACCAATAGGATATTGTGGGTTCGAATCCTGAAATGATTCGTCATGATCATGATCGACCCTTGAAGTAAAATAGGTCTTCAGCAACCCATGCTTGCCGCAAAAGGCGACTATGCTTGTCGTAAAAGGCGACTAACCGGATCGAAAGGTCAGGCTCGCTGACTTGGTTGATGCATGTCATCGTATCCCAATTGCTTGAATCGATGCTCATGATGTCAATCACTGGATTGTCTGGTCCAGACTCGACTATTTACAGACCGCCGTCATATAGCTTGATTATTGCTGAGTGTGGCGTTTAACAACAAACAAACAAACACACATAATCATGATCATTGTTTTATCAGCACTATTCCGGTGCTCGGGGGTTTCGTCAAAGTAATACAAGTAAAAAACCTGCAACAATTTCCGGCTTTCCTCCCACATGAAAGCTAACTGCAGTGATATAACTGGAATACTGTTCAAAGCGGCGATAAACCCAACTCACTCACTCATGCAGACTTGATGAGGCAAATGCCAGTCATTACGTCACAAGTCAGCAACTCACATGATGTTTTTTTGCCTAAGGGAGGAAGTGTGATGACGTTTGTACAAGTTTATATATGTGACATTCAAAAAACAATGTGACCCACAAGGAGAAAAGGGACCTTAGGGGCGCAAGGATACAACTGTGCTGTGACGTCACAAAGAGGTACGTTTGACGTCAACTTACTTCCGTGAAAAGCGCCATGTGTGCGGATTGTACAGAAAGGCTTATTTTTCACTCGTTCGTTTGAAATGTAATAAAAACATTTTTTTTTCAATTTTATTATTATTATTATTATTATTATTATTATTATTATTTCAGCATACACGTCTACTTTCAATTAATCAGACATTATATAAAAAACTTCAAACAATACAAAAATAGTCTGAAAATGGACTTTGCAGATACTGAGTCCGTCTGTATCTCTGAAATAAATATGAATTGAAGCTTGTGAATTGTATTTTTGTGTTCCTAAGATACTGTAGCTTTAAAATATAACAAGTGTCAAAATGTAACGCATGTCCATTATAGATCGTGTGCCAGATGAATGGAATCACATTTATTCTAATTTCCTTATCGTTTACTCATAAATATGAATGCAATGCTTAACTTGAATATTTGGGACTCCCAGGTGAGTGGGGATTCCACACATCCTGTTGGACAGATCCGAGTATGAATGATAAATATAGAGGGAATTTGCAGGGACCAGAAGGTGTGTTCGAGACAACCAGTTATTCGACACATCCAGCTGACAGATCCGAGTATAAATGATGATAGATATATAGAAGGAATTGGTAGGAACTAGGAGATGAGTTCGAGACAACCGGGAATTCGACACATCCAGCTGGACAGATCCGAGTATAAATGATGACAGATATAGAAGGAATTGGTAGGAACAAGAAGATGAGTTCCAGACAACCAGTAATTCGACACATCCAGCTGGACAGATCCGAGTATAAATGATGACAGATATAGAAGGAATTGGTAGGAACTAGAAGATGAGTTCCAGATAACCAATAATTCGACACATCCGGCTGGACAGATCCGAGTATAAATGATGACAGATATAGAAGGAATTGGTAGGAACTAGAAGATGAGTTCCAGACAACCAGTAATTCGACACATCCAGCTGGACAGATCCGAATATAAATGATGATATATATAGAAGGAATTCGTAGGGACCAGAAGGTGAGTTCGAGACAACCAGTAATTCGACACATCCAGCTGGACATATCCGAGTATAAATGATATATATAGAAAGAATTCTCAGGGACCAGGAGGTGAGTCCGAGACAACCGGGAATTCGACACATCCAGCTGGACAGATCCGAATATAAATGATGATGAATATATAAGGAATTCGTAGGGACCAGAAGATGAGTTCGAGACAACCGGAAATTCGACACATCCTGTTGGACAGATCCGAGTAAAAATGATGATATATATATATAGAAGGAATTGGTAGGCACCAGAAGATGAGTTCGAGACAAGCGGGAATTCGACACATCCTGTTGGACAGATCCGAGTGTAAATGATGATGAATATATAAGGAATTGGTAGGCACCAGAAGATGAGTTCGAGACAAGCGGGAATTCGACACATCCTGTTGGGCAGATCCGAGTATAAATCATGATGAACGTATAAGGAATTCGTAGGGACCGGAAGTTGAGTTGGAGACAACCGGGAATGCGACACATGCAAGTTCACATCGAGGTTCGACTGTATAATCAAACCTTATCTTGCATACAAGCAGTGGTGTTTCGCCGAATGAATTCTTAGGAAGTCTAAACAGATATGAGAAGTTGCAACACAGGTTCTAAATGGAATTCCAGGCAAGGTATTCCAGTACTTGTGGATACTCTTTTTGATTTCACCTTCGAAAACATTCAGAAAAGCAATGCGACCCGCCAGGAGAAAAGGGATCATATGGGTGCTAGGATACAGTTGTGCTGTGTCTTTTGAAGAGGTACGTTTGACGTCAACTTACTTCCGTATAAATCGCCATGTGTGCGGATTGTGAAAAAAGTATCGTACTTTTCTCTCGTTCGTAATGTAAAAACACATTATTTCAAAGCATTTCAGCATACACTATACCTAAAAACTGCAATTATAACATAAACAGTAATAAGCCTGAAAATGGGAACTTTCAGAAAATGAGTCCAAATGTTTGATGCCATGTCACTCTGTAATAAATATGAATTGAAGCTCATCAAATGTATATTTGTGGTCCTAAGATACTGTAGTTTTAAAATACAGCAAGTAGTCAAACTGTGACTTTCACCCTTATCTCATGGTTGGTCACATATTTACATTTATTCTCTACTGGCTTGCAAGAACCTTTGCATCTGTGTGAACACTCATGACTTTGTTGACAACACTATCGGAACCACCCACTGCCACGCGCACAAAGCGATCTTAGCGCTACGACTATTGTAAGCCTATTTTAAAGTATGGGGGTTACTATCATCTTAGCGTTAAGATTGCTTTTTGCAAGTGGGCCCTGGGGCGGTATTCATAAACATTCTTAGAGTGCTAGAGAGGTCTTAAGCCTGAGAAAATTCTGAAAATACGAAAAGTTACTCTTAAATCGAAGAATTTTCTCAAGTCATATTCATAAAAACTTTTAGCATTAAGATTACTCCTAAAGTTAAGAGAACTCAAGAGGGCTTTTAGATACCTAAGCATTTTCTTAGCGAGTTTAGAGTATTCTTAAGAAAATTCTAAGAATGTTTATGAATACCGCCCCTGGTGTCTCATTACTCCATGACCGATTGATGGCAGCTGGGAATAAATCCACTGCAGCAAACAAACCGTCAGCCGAAGATAAAGAGAAGCGGCAACAATAGCCATCATACTCCATGAGCTGCTACGTTGTATTATTTGACCAGAATAGCCGACCAGCATCCTGAAAGTTGAATGTCGAACAGGATTGAAATAGAATGCCTGGTGTCTTATTCTACGCGTCTTTTGAAGATTCACTATAAGGACTTGTGTAGATCATGATGACACAGATGTAAATGCAAAGCAGATTGGTTGTAACGTAAATCTCAGTCGATGGCGGAGCTAGAAAAAGATTGAACCTTTCCGTTGCAGAGGGATGGTATATGTTTCTTGTACTCTTATAGTGACGTATATTGGATATATCATACATTGAAAACATGTGATATATCATGTGACTGATTTGAAGCTATGTGTACATTTGATATATTTTTTTTTGTACATTAAATATATTCATGTATATTGATATATTTAAGAATTGAAATGCCAAGCTGCATGAACGTCGGAGCTTGCGTTCACGTTGTTTGGCCCTCACTCTATAAAGGTTAATTGTCCAATGAACTCACGCAAAGTGAAAGTCAAGTCTTATAATGTTTTTATCACAATTTCTTACCTCAAAGGATGTAGGCCTAGATCTATACTCAATTTAATTTACAGACAGCCATATAACAACCAGCTGTATCGCGGAATGAGTGAGTGAGTATGGTTTTACGCCGCCTTTAGCAATATTCCAGCAATATCACAGCGGGGGACACCTGAAATGGGCTTTACACAATGTACCCATGTCTGGAATCGAACCCGGGTCTTCAGTGTGACGTGCGAACGCTTTAACCACCAGGCAACCCGACCGCCCCGTATCGCGGAATGAAATAGTTCCTCAATAGGAGGAATTAGGAGGAGACATGGGCGTATGTGAGCACAACTTGCTCTTCAGAAACATCTTACACAACACATGTTTTTAAACAATATAACCATTAGTTTTCTGTAAGTCGGTCACAATGACAGCCCGTCGTAATACATTTACATCAAGTACAAGACGTCAAAATGGCCGACACGATAAACGTGACGGGAGAGATTTCGAAAGTTGTTTTTGAACATGTGGCGGTTACATGTATTAGTCATCATTTATCAACTGGCCGATCATTGAAAGATGATTAAAGATGTGTCAAATAGACACTGAGGTAAATTCATAGACAGCTGCTGACTTTCACTACCATAGTTTTGATGAGCATTTCTTCGTTTTGTTCACTAGGATGGGTCGTAGCGAGGATAGTCGTGAACGATCATGCGATCAAACTCATGACGTTTATCAATGTATACTAAAACGCTGAGTTCAAGATTGAAAGGTCTAAATGATCAGAACGCTTCTGGATGTTTTCGTGCTAGGGAGTTCCCAGGGGTTTCCCCAACAACGTGGAAGTAGTCCGTCAGTGTTTACGTCATTTCAAGAACACAGTCTCGTAAAAAAACCGCTTGAACGTCAAATTGAGTCGTTCATACACTTATGAACGTCAATTTCGCGGTCATGTGACCGACCTCTCGTCCAATGAAAAAGCCGTATCAATTAAAAAATTATCATGTAGTGACATACATTTTATGTACCATGCATTAAATTCATTTGATATACCATGTACGTATTAACATGCATTGGATATATCATTTAGTGACAAGCTTTGGATATATGTAGTGACATACATTTGATATGCTAGTATCATGTATGTATTGACATACATGGGATATATCATTTAGTGAAATGCATAATTATATATACATTTGATATACTAGTATAGTGTATCTGTTGACATACATGTGATATATATGTAAAATTAAGTGACATGCATTGGATATGTCATGTAGTGACATACAAGTGATATATCATTCTTTTTATGTAGTAACATACATATTATATGTTATGTGCCATACAATTGGTATGTCCTGTACTGACAAACGTTGGATACATCTTGTAGTGACTTCCAATGGATATATATGTAGTGGTATACATTTGATATATCATGTCGGTATGATGTATATAACTACCAAGCGGTCGCGAAAGGTTGTGCGTATCCTGCCCATTCGGCCGCACTGGTCACAAACACTAAGTTAAGGCAAGTCAAATGTTCACTTGAACTTGGACTTATAGTACGAGTCAAAATTGGGAATTGCATGGGACATCAGTGTTGTCACTGATGCGTCAGTGTCTCGATGTCTCCACGTTCATAACACTTTTTAAAGATTCACTAAGTCCTTGAATACTGGATGCTTTTGGAGTATGGCGCTCTTTGCAGGAAGAGCATGCTCGATTGAATCTGTGAAATGTAGCCACCAGGGTTAGGGGTGCTGGAATAATGCTCGACATAAGGGGAAAGGTGACTTTTAGAGTGAGTGAGTGAGTTGGGTTTAACGCCGCTTTTAACAGTATTCCAGTTATATCACGGCGTGTCAGCTTAGTGTGGGAGGAAATAACTATTAGAAAGTTGAAGTCTCCCCTTTGTCATACAGTCTTGTGGATAGTTTGTGGTCACTCTTAATTTTCATGCGTATGAACTAGTTGAGGCTGTTTCACTGGTCGCATTCTTATATATACTAAACGCCAAAAGAAACGCAACCTATAGAAACATAAAGAGATGTTTCCAGCGTGTTCCACTTATTGACAAAACTAACAATCAGTCAAGTGTTACCACAGGGTCTTTATTCATATCACGATATGAATACGTGATTTCAAACCTTTACACGCAGACCCTGCGCGAGACAAATGGTTCATCTTGAGTCATGGATTTTTGTCACGCAACCTAACAGTATGTTCCTTTGTGCGTCAAACCACAAATGGTTCGCTTACTTCTTGACTACATGTTCTATCCCCCAGCTGCACAAATATGTTATCTATGAGGTAGTCAGGCATTTCAGTAAACTTTCGGTGACATTCGCTTTTATTTTTGAAAACAAATGTCCTGAACCCGAAGATAGAGATGTAAGTACAGTAAACTACCGTTATAACGAACATGCTTATAACGAACTTACGGATATAACGAACTTACTTTTTTGGTCCCGACTATTTGCTGTAGTTATGCTGTATATATGCTTATAACGAACTTCGGTTATAACGAACTAAAATTAGTAGTCCCTTTGAGTTCGTTATAACCGTACTTTACTGTATATCTATTGCCACCACATGGCCAGGTAGAGAATAGGTCTTCAGCAACCCTTGCTTGTCGTAAGAGGCGACTAACGGGATCGGGTGGTCAGGCTCGCTGACTTGGTTGATGCACGTCATCGTATCCCAATTGCGTGGATCGATGCTCATGATATCAATCACTGGATTGTCTGGTCCAGTCTCTATTTTTTACAGTCCGCTGTCATATAGTTGGAATATTGCTGAGTGAGGCGTTAAACAACAAACAGACAAACAAAACAATTTGTGACAAATGAGTCATGGGTCAAAGAATTAAGTTTCTCCCTAATTTAGTCGTAGTGCATAGTGAGATTGCAAAATAAGACACGTTAAACTTTGGATTAGTGAGTGAGTAGGGTTTTACACCGCTTTTACCAATATTCAACCAATACCACGGCAGGGGACACCAGAAATGGGCTTCACACAATGTTCCAATCCGGAGAATTGAATCTTCGGCGTGACGAGCGAACGCTCAACCACGAGGCTTCCCCGCCGCCCCCATTTGAATTCGGACGCAGTTACTGTGTGTAAGTGCATTGCATTAAAATCAGATCTTAGTTCTCGTTACCGCTAAACAAAGATCTGAGGACATCCCATTTGGTTCACGTCAGAACGACCTTTCATCCGACCAATCAATGCTTCGCTTACCAGATCATGAAAGTGACAGTCGGAATGTGATTTCTAATCATGCAACCCCGAAAACTTTAAAACGGGGTATTCCGAACGATAGTTACCGGCTAAACGACCGAATCTATACAATCTAGACCATATATTAACCATTCGAGAATGTTGTTTTGTTCAGGTTTCAAATTTTTAAGCGAGAATTTGTCAAAATATGTTTCGAAGCGTAGTCGCCAATTTGAAATTAGTGCCGTAAAGCACGAGAAAGCGCCTTCTGATTGGCTAATATCAACTTCTTGTCAGTAATTCCATTGGTCGGTCAGAGTTCGCGAAAGGTCGGTCTGAAGTGACCCGTAATGGGATGTCCTCAGATCTTTGTTTAGCGGCAGCGAGAACTAAGATCTGATTTTAATGAGATTGTGTGTAAGTGGTTTTTTTCTTTAACCATGTTGGTGTGGTCCAGGGATGGTGACATTCACAACCACGATGGTAATCGAGGATGGGTATGGCACCCAATGCCCCTGCATGATGATGTTCCACCCTTGGCCATCGTAGATGAAAAACACACACGAAAAGACTTTGTTTAAGAATATAGTGATTTATTCAGAAATAATGGGATTCTGTTGATACTATTCTATTCAGTTTATTTAACACACAAAATATAATGAACAACGAAGAAACAGTTTAGAATAATCAGTCAGAGAATTGACCCTATCTTGTACAGAATGATAGGTAGTGCATGTAACACAACAACTGCAAAAGGTCAAACAGTCTCTATGATAGGAGAACGAAGATGACCTTGGCCGTGATACAACGTTAAAAAACTGACAACATTATTTTACAAACTTGGTATATCAGAGAATATTTGACTTTTCTTGCAACAAAACATGTATTGAGATGACATAAACATGTAGGCTAGCTTGAAAATAGTAATAAGTAAATAGTATTTGATTGTGTGTTGCAACCGTTTTGGTTTGAAATATGACAATGTTTGTTTCCAACACTTTAATTTTTTAAAGAGTGTATTGTGTCATTCGATGCAAACTGAAATATGTTTTTGACGGAATGCTGTATTAATCTATAACTCTGGGAACAATAAAAGTTTTTAAAAAAGTAAATAGATATTGGTTATCATCGTAATAATGATGGTTAACGTTTAAGAGTCCAGTTATACCTACTAAAAAGTTTAAATATTTTTAAGCGTCATAATTTATCATTGCTAAAATAATGGATGTTCATAAGCTCTACAACATCATACGTATGTAGTTATACCTTGATTTAAAAATTAATAAATTAATATTTCATACCTCTCAAGTTGACGATGAAATAAATCAGCATATTTGATGCTTTAACCCCCTTTAAAATTCAAAGTTAATTGATCTGTCCACATGACATGACATTTAACAACAACAACAACAACAACAACAACAACAACAACAACAACAACAACAACCGATCTCAGCAAATACATATATATGACGAAAAGAGTGCATTTTAGATGCTTGAGTATCATCCGGGAATAGAGTACTTTCAGTTCCATCTATTATATGTTAAAATACCAATGAACGACATCAGCTGAGCGATACAAGATATGTCCAGAAGAGCTAGATGTGTTACCATATAATTAATTTTAGAAAGCAAAAACATTTATACATTCAGAACATTGTCTCCTGCAGAACTTATAGTACCATACAAGCCTGCACGTTCTCTCCGATCAAACGATCAATATCTGCTAGTGGTGCCAAAGTCACGTTCCAAAACATATGGCGATAGGTCATTTCAACATGCTCGCCCATTGCTATGGAACAATCAGAAATCCTAGAAAATGAAAATATGATAAACAGTGAGAAGACACTCCAAACCTGTCTTTTCAAGAGAACCTTTTACTAGATCCATCGTAGTCTAAGCGTATTTTAGCAGTTGTTAATTGGAAAATGCGCTATAGAAATTCTTAATTTAATTTAAATTTAATTTACCGTATTCGACGTAATAAGCGCCCCGCTCTAATAAGCGCCCACGGCGATATTTGCTAATATATTGGCACGTGAACAATCCCAAACAAGACTTACTCAATCGCGTATAATACGCACTCCTGTGTTATATGCACCAGTAATTATGGGCAATAAAATTCTGGAAAAATATATCTGCCGTACATAAACATTTCAGGCTGTCAGCATAAACCACGAAATTTATCTTTCAACTCTGTTTTTTTTCACCAAAATAATATTTGAATCAGAGCCCCCTATTTCTAATTTTGAGAGAGCCCCAGGCGCTTATTGCGTCGAATACGGTATTCTATATGTGATCAAGACCTTTCACTACACAAGTGCGGACATTTCGGAGCCGATTGTTTCTCTCTGTCTTATATTTATTTTTAAGCGAGGTTACTCTAAGTGGTTGTGAAACTACTTGATAATCTCACTAAAAAGTTGATAAACGATATTGAAATCTACCAACAACCCACGGAAAACAAAACTAGATAACTATTACGAAACGTACTGATCTTAATTGATTATGAAACCAATTGATTATCGAATTTTAAATTTAGCCTTTTTGTGTATCGGTGTGGCTTGTTCTTGACTAGTCATATCTGGCTTGACTTTGAAACACATCGGCTTTTTCAGATTTTTGTGCTAAATAAGACAAAAATACCAACAGGAATTTGGTATATATCACCAATACAATAGTTCCAAACCTAGATTATATTTTGGATAAATAAACAAGTGAGTGAGAATATCTTAGACCGCATTTAGCAATATTCCAGCAATATCACACCAGAAATAGGCTTCATATAATGTACCCATGTGGGGGAACAAACACAGGCCTTAGGCGAGACGAGCGAACTCTTACACCACTAGGCTACTCCACCGCCCCCATAAACTCGAAGAAAACGATGGTGTTAAGGGTGCCTCTTAATGGGTATTGAACGCAGCCAGTTTCGGAAAGGAGGACGGCGGAACAACTAGAACATGAAAAAAACGAATCTAATTTTGATTTCCTCAGCAGCACGTTCAAGGGTCGGTCGGTGCTGAGAAACGGGATTTTTCTTTTTATGTGGGTTAATGTAAACACCAGCACCAGCCATGACAACTACAGTCAACGACATAACGACACTGAACACGTCGGGTTTATTGCACTTCTGAAGAGGCCATTTTAGTCAACGTACTATCATACCCATTGTTTATAACTATTATCAGACGTCTTTATAACCAGTATCAGACGTGTTTATAACTATTATAGGTGTGTTTATAACTATTATCAGACGTGTTTATGATTATTATGAGACATGTTTATAACTATTACCAGACGTGTTTATACCTATTATCAGACGTGTTTATAACTAGTATTAGAGGTGTTTATAAGAGGTGTTTATAACTAGTATTAGAGGTGTTTATAACTAGTATCAGACGTGTTTATAACTAGTATCAGACGTGTTTATAACTAGTATCAGACGTGTTTATAACTAGTATTAGAGGTGTTTATAACTAGTATCAGACGCGTTTATAACTAGTATTACACGTGTTTATAACTATTATCAGATGTGTTTATAACTAGTATCATACTGGGATAGACCTGTACATGTCAGGAGGCTGTAATTGATTCCTGGTCAGGTTAAAATAAACTCAATCCATAGGATCGGGTCAGTCTCCAAAGGGAAGTAAGAAACCGGTTTCAGTTGTGAAAAATCCTTCCGTGTCACCGAAACCGGTTTAAGTTGTGACCAAGCCTTCCGTGTCGCCATGACAAAAAGAAACACCTTATCTCACCTCTGACGGTGATCGAGTCCAGCAGATATCGCGGCAAAGTAACAGAAACGTAAGTCAGTCAACAGCCATGAACACTAGGAAGGTAGTCTGTTTCCGTTGTGACAGAGTCATGTCACAACGACGAGTCGGAATTCTAATTCCAGTTTCTCAGACTGAAACCGGATGCACGCCAAAGTCAACACAATCCAGTTTGTATCAATTTTCACACCGGAAACAGCCACAGTTGCGCAGATCCTTGATCGTTGTTGCCGGATGTAGATGCGGCACGAGATTCCCGTCTTCTCCGTAACATTCCTGCATCACAATGCGCCTCTGAGCTTGTTCCCCTTCCCGACAACAACGGCAGTCCTGGGGAAAGAAGTCATCATGAATGAGTGTTTGTTTGTTTGTTTGTTGTTTAACGCCGCACTCGGTCTGTAAATAATCGAGTCTGGACCAGACAATCCAGTGATTGACATCATGAGCATCGATCCACGCCATGGGGATACAATGACACGCATCAACCAAGTCAGCGAGCCTGACCACCCGATCCCGTTAGTCGCCTCTTACGACAAGCATAGTCGCCTCTTACGACAAGCATAGTGGGGACCGAGCCACCGCTTTCGAGGCAGACGCTGTACCCTATAGACCACGGAGTCGGTCAGTTTCGATCGAATTTTTGCAACTGTATATAACGTATACGCTTTTAACGACACGTAATCTCATTAAAATCAGATCTTAGTTTTCGCTTTCGCTAAACAAAGATCTGAGAACATCCCATTACGGGTCACGTCAGAACGACCTTTCATCAAACCAATCAGAGCGTCGGTTACCAGACCATGAAAGTGACATTCGGAATGTGTGTTCTAATCACGCAACCTCGAAAACGTTAACACGGGGTATTCCGAACGACAGTTACGGGCTTTTGATTATATCCATGCAATCTTGGCCATCTATAAGCCATTCCAGAATGTTCTTTTTGTCAGTTTTAAATCTTTTAATCGAGAATACGTCAAAATATGTTTCGAAGGGTAGTCGCCAGTTTGAAACTAGTGTCGTAAAGTTCGAGAAAGCTGCCTTCTGGTCATTTCATTGGTCGGTCAAAGTTCGCGAAAGGACGTTCTGATGTGACCCGTAATGGGATGTCCTCAGATCTTTGTTTTGCGGTAGCGAAAACTAAGGTATGATTTAAATGAGATTGCATTGAAGAAAAGAGAAGTTGAAATCCACACGTCAACACTGTCTTTACCGTTTTAGAAATGACAAAAAGAATCCCCTTCTGCAAAGCCATATTAGCGTTTCGACTATCGTAGACGGCCTCCGTGGTCGAGTGGTAGAGCGTCCGCCCGGAGAGCGGAAGGTCCGGGGTTCGATCCCCGACCGCGTCATACCAAAAGACGTTAAAATACGTTTTGTTACCCTGTCTGGCGCTCGGCATTAAGGGGTTAAAACAAGGACTGATCGGTTCGGAGTCAGTATACTGTTTTTGAGTGGGGTATTCATGTTAAACTGCGGCATGGTATCTCAGTTTGTAACTGACCATTTATTCGGGCGAACCTGGGATTCGAACCACAATCATAGGTCCCAGGCACGCCTAAGGGACGCAACTCTGCAAATCAAATATGACTGTGGGATTCTTACCTTCTTAAAGGGGTAGTGGTGCACACTGGGAGATACGACTGATTCACAAACCCCCTCACACTTGTTCACCGTTACCCTGGCAACGCAGCTGACCTGTAACCTATGACCGTTAACCTCGGCTACAATGTTCTTTACGATATCAACTTCCGTGGACAGTGTTTGGCAGTTGTCTTGCCAGTATGTTGGCCGAACGGTGGCCACAACTGTGGTCAAGATGGCAGCACAGAGCACGTGCAGGACGGCCACGTCGCGTGGCCCGATCGCCATTCTGCAACACAGAAAATGAATATGGCGATTAATCATCTAGTAAACATATCTGGTTTCTGGTTTAGCCAACTGGTTCTTGGTAGAGATATATATTGGATATGCATCTGGTATCAAACACATCAAAGGCCCTGACGTTAATAGAACATTCACCAGATGAGGCAAACATAAGTGCGATCATTTAATGATAATCAAAAATCACAATTATGTAGATCAGAAGATGATTAATTTCGCCTTCAGATTAAAAACTTCATTCCTTGATCCATCGGGAATTTGTCAGAAAACGTGGTGACCATCGATGAGATTAGTTACAATATATCTTAAGAGGTTCAGGAAAATGACTGAGAAAACAATATGTGAAATATTGCATTTCTTCATTGATAACAACTATATAATTTGGGGGTTAGACGTTTAGGTAAGAATAATTGTCTTGCCTATGCGTGTGTTTGTGACGGGTGCCATCTGTGGGGCAGGATACGCTCACCTTTTCGCGAACACCTGGTATCAATACTATTTGATAGTGATTCATAAACACGTGCTCATGATACAGTCGGAATGGTACAATCGACTCTGCTTTTAGCATATATTTCTCGTGGCTATGGAAAAGGTTTTATCGCTTTTATTTAATATGAAGACACTTCCGGTGGGATAGTGAGTATTGCCGGTGTCGTAACTTCTAAAAGCGAAACAATTACATTTATATATGAGAAAAGGAAAATTAATTCTTTCAAAGATAAATTAACGGTATACATACATGAGTAAAGTGTCTCTCCTTTCCATACCATAACCATTCTCTCACAGAAGAGAAACATGCGTTACGCCGATGGTTGTAAATATTCAGCAATCACACATAAATCAATCGACCTACACAACGTTATATTCACAATCTAGATACTAGAAAACGATATACAGATACAATGTACACAAAAAATATTTATAATTCAACCCACAAATGTTAACACTATGGAAAACTAAAACCAACCACCAAAAACCCCAAACGAAAAGCAAAACAGCAAAACCAATGAAAACTCATTACAATAAACAATCTGAAAACAGGACAATAAAATAGTGTGTCTTACATTGTCGATCTTATATCTTCAATACGGCGGTTAATTCGTCCTTGTTTGTGTCAGTAGAATATGGAGGTAATCAGCTGTCAACAGTCCGCCTATCCTATGACGTGTGATCTTTGTTATGTCACAATAGATATAATGCAAGTGATTTTGATTAGCTACCAAGAATTATGTCTGCCTTATGTTTCCATAAACCGACAAAGACCACGCCCACTAATGGACTACTGTTTCCTGATTGGCTGATAATAGGGTGGGTGGGGCTCGTGTTGTATCATGGCGCTTAATGATGTCACTGATTTCGTATTGACGTCTACAGTTGTTTTTTGTGTGACTGATTCAATATGTGAAAAACAGTTGTAATCAAGTGCACCCAAATGGTGTGTGCCAGAAGGCAAAGTTGACAAGCTTAACCACGTCGGGTGACTTGTAATATCGCCCGGGCCTGACTGCGTACGCCGATCTACGAATCAAGAATGATTTATACAACGTCATTGCCACAGATTCCATTGAACGCAAAAGAAAAATAGCGGTGGACATGTTATGAAGGAATCACTAAAAATCAATGAAGGCACCAGGTGTTTGCGAAAAAGGTCAAGCATGTCCTTCCCGACCTTAGAACCCGTGGCTTAACAATTTACATAAAAAAGTATGTGTTTGTTGTCTGACAATGCCCCCTCTTATTATTGTAGCGAAATGGTCAATTTAAAAGCTGGGATGCAGGGCGTCTTAAAATAAACTGATTTATCTTAACTTCATGTCAGAATGATGAGATCTGATTGGTCCACGTAATCTTGATAAATACTGTGTATCCCGCCTTGGTGGGGAATAAATTCTCAGCGGGGTAACAAATCTCTTATACCCCGCCACGAGCAACGCAGGCAGCACGTGGATTTTTGAAAGGCAGAATAAATCCCTTATACCCCGCTTCCAAGCAAAAGGCCGCACGCTTTTCCTGAGTCAGTGAAAGTCACGTGACATTTCACAAGCTAACCTCAATCGAACAGCTGTTTTCTACCTACTTTAAGTTTGTTTTAATTCATTTAAAATGTGAAATTCAAAAATGTCGCTAAGATAAATTCGTTGTAGCAGGATCACTCGGGGTACATGGGGTTTTATGCGTCCCTCGTAGGTTCTATACAACTCGCCTCCGACTTATAATATCTTTTACACTTTTAACCTTAAACCAAAACAAATTAGGAACACATTGACAATTGTTTCTTATAACCTACCCAAAAGCCCCCAAGGAAGTTTTAAACACAAATTACCAATAGAGAACGGCGTTCATGGCCGTGCTGAAAACAATACAAATAACGCAATAATTAAGAAACATACACGGGGGAGCCTTCACATCGGAGGCGGCGGAAAATATATCATCCGGGGGATATCTCATTCCTCTAGTTACCCCCCAGGGCAGCGTCTAAAACCGGTACGACTTCACCGTGGGCGAGTATATACGGGGGCGACACCGGCGTCAAACTACTTCAACAACGGCGGTGTCAACCAGTACAGTATCAGTGTTGCCCACCCATAACAGTAGTTTTACAGAATAAGCATAGTTATTATATCAATATATATATACAGTAAACTACGGTTATAACAAACTCAAAGGGACTACCAATTTTAGTTCGTTATAACCGTAGTTCGTTATAAGTACATATACAGCATGACTACAACAAGTAGTCTGGACCAAAAAGTAAGTTCGTTATAACCGTAATTTATTTGACGATATCCGGAAGAGAAGCAGGCCCTAGACAGGTGCACGTGTATGGTGTTGACAAACCACAAGGAGAATACGTCCCCAGAAACCAATGCTTGGCGTAGAGGAGAGTTTATTGATAGGGTGGTCAGGCTCGCTGACTTGGTTGAATATGTGTGATCGAAGGCTTAGACCATTGCCCATGATATCAATCACTGGATTGCTTGGTCCAGACTCGATTACGAGGCCGCAGGCACAAAGTTGGAATACTACTGCGGCGTTAAATAAACAAACAAACAAACAAACACAATTCATTACCCTCGATCAGGCATTAAAGTTTAAGAGTTTTCCTTTTAACTCTTATAGAACGCGTATAAAGTGATTTAGAAAACGAAGAGCACAGAAAAGGAGGCAACAAGAAGCTCACAGTCTATATCCTTTAATACACCGTTTCATGTCAGAAGTTATTGTCAATCAGGATGTTGAAAGATTTTGGAAGAACCGCACCCTGAATAAGTGGATTTTCTACATCCATAGTGTCATATACATGTACAAGCCCCCACTCTCTTCAAACAATGTTGACAATATCTCAAGTCCTTCCTACAAACAAAGTTATTATGAAAAGCTCATATAGATTTTTCACCAAATCTTCAAACCATTTTGTGTGGCGACATTTACTGGGTCACGTCGAGCGCCTGGTTGTCAGGAAAGTGGCCTTGTGGCTTGTTTGTCTGATATATGACGCCGCTGGTTGGAAGAATTACAACCAGATAGACAATGACAACCAGACTCACGCTTCCTGTTGATTAAAGGAGACGTGCTATTTGTGGACAGACATACATTCGACAAGGACGTCAAACATCCTTTGGTCCATTTACCCGACTGTGACGACACCGTCTGTTGCCCCTCATAACCGAGACTGGTGTTAACGTGGATTGTATGTATAAATTAAGCCAGCAACTACTGAAAGCCCCAACGCAGCGCGTGTAACTTTCCCTATGAGAACGGTATCACAGCGTACGATGAACGTTCAGATCACATCAATGTCAGGACTCATGCTTGTTCGTGCACTCGGCTAGGGATTGTATTTGTTTGCATGGCTTGATAGCGTCATATTTACACGGCGACATCGCTGGTATCATACCTTTGTTACGACATCGCTGGTGTCATACCTTTGTTACGACATCGCTGGTGTCATACTTTTGTTACGACATCGCTGGTGTCATACCTTTGTTACGACATCGCTGGTATATCTTTGTTAAGACATCACTGGTATCATATATTTGTTACGACATCGCTGGTATCATACCTTTGTTACGACATCACTGGTATCATATCTTTGTTAAGACATCACTGGTATCATACCTTTGTTGAGACATCGCTGGTATCATACCTTTGTTACGACATCACTGGTATAATACCTTTGTTAAGACATCACTGGTATCATATCTTTGTTACGACATCGCTGGTATCATATCTTTGTTAAGACATCACTGGTATCATATCTTTGTTAAGACATCACTGGTATCATACCTTTGTTACGACATCGCTGGTATCATATCTTTGTTAAGACATCACTGGTATCATATCTTTGTTAAGACATCACTGGTATCATATCTTTGTTACGACATCACTGGTATCATACCTTTGTTGCGACATCGCTGGTGTCACACCTTTGTTTAGACATCGCTGGTATCATACCTGTGTTAAGACATCACTGGTATCATATCTTTGTTAAGACATCACTGGTATCATATCTTTGTTAAGACATCGCTGGTATCATACCTTTGTTGAGACATCGCTGGTGTCACACCTTTGTTTAGACATCGCTGGTATCATACCTGTGTTGAGACATCACTGGTATCATACCTTTGTTAAGACATCACTGGTATCATATCTTTGTTAAGACATCGCTGGTATCATATATTTGTTAAGACATCGCTGGTATCATACCTTTGTTACGAAATCGCTGGTGTCATACCTTTGTTACGACATCACTGGTATCATATCTTTGTTAAGACATCGCTGGTATCATATATTTGTTAAGACATCGCTGGTATCATACCTTTGTTACGAAATCGCTGGTGTCATACCTTTGTTAACAGATCGCTGGTATATCTTTGTTACGACATCACTGGTATCATACCTTTGTTACGACATCGCTGGTATCATATCTTTGTTACGACATCACTGGTATCATACCTTTGTTACGACATCACTGGTATCATATCTTTG